ATGTTAAATGTGCAATTTGTGTTTTATTTTATAACTTATAATTACATTTTCAAATGTATTGATTGATTTTGGAGTTATAATAGTACCATTATTTTATACTGCAGTATATTTTGTATTAATATAAATCGTCACATAGCCCTAAAATATTATGCAATAGGTGGAAGTATATAGTTGATCTTCAAACAAAAGTGATTAATATTTTTATTATTGTAGAATATTAACCATCTAACTAATTACATAAGTAGATACTCTTTACGAACAGTAGTGGTAAATGTTTTTCTTACCAACAATCTGAGTTAAATTCAATCCAAGAAATATTGTAATATGTTATACTGATAAGTAATAATTAGTCAATAGTCATTCATAACAAGTGTATTGACATTTTCAAATACATGTCCAATGCGCGGCGCATCTTAGTTATATTAATGATAATATCAGTAGACAGTTAACACCTATATAATATATACGATATAGAATTAATATTTTAAATACCTATACGTATTTTGTTAAATATATCATCATTGATCATCGTAATTTCAACTTATTTTATTATTGAATTGATTATAGTTTATTTTACATTGACAATTAATTATCATTAACTAAATAATTTCTTTTTTACTATTTAATCTAGATATAATTTTATTTATTTTTATTTTTTATGTATACAACAGTAAAGTACGAAAGATGTTTTCAAGATAAAATACCTTACCCCACTTTTTAAATTAAAAACTATAATATTATTATCATAGTTTTTCTTCTGACCAGTTTCTGATGAAAACTATCTTGGAATAAAATGCAGTGGCCGTTAATGATAACTATGGATTAATTAAATAGTTTTATTTTTTACAATTTATACAAAAAGATGTACTAAGTAATTGGCTTAATCAATGCATAATATATAGAAATAAAAGCCTAAAAATAGCTCAAAAGGATGCTATTTGATGGGATAACACCATTACTAACATTTAATTTTTTTTATGTTCAAATTAATGTTAACGTGAAATAAACTTCATGCTTCTTATTTTTTTTGTACAGACAGCTATACGATATTTTATATCGAAATATTTATCGTAAATACATTTAAATATTGATACAGCTATACTACAGTGAGTAATATTTTTTGTACTTACATAAAATAATCAATAATTAGTTAATGTAATTCTATAATTTTTTTAAAGTATTACTTATTGTATTTCATTTTAAAATATATAATTAATTCGTCAAAGATTTGTATCTAATTATTTCTAATTCAAATCCAATTTGTTTTACCTAGCACTAAGTATCAATATATTAATGGTATACTTTTAAAAATATTTATCCCATGTAACGAAGTTTCTTAATTATTTTGAAATAGTATAAAAATGTAATGACTTGATCTTAAATTTTGTTTAATCACTGTTTGACCGAATTAGATACCATTAGAACAATACTGTATATACAAATCTTGCGGTAAATCATTACTATTACAAAATACCACATAGGCAATATAATATTATATAATGTATATATATACATGTCTGATGTACTTTATAAACAAATCGTAAATTGCGTGCAGATTGAGATCGAAATGTGAAAAGATATTTGTTTCACTTGAATAGATATGTGCCAATATACTTACCACGGAAATATAATATTGTATTATGATGATCTAATAACGAGTTTTTTGGGGTTTTGGTGATATTTATTGCATTCTCCGTATGTCGAACGCAAACAAATACAAACTAGTTTTATTTTTACCAGCTCTGCACCACCTCTTAAAGTTCATAAGTTATCTTCATTAGAGAAGTTTACGTATAGTAGAAGTTCATTATGTTGTGTTTTGTTAATCTCACCACCTCAAATCTAGTAGATCAAGTGCAAAATCTGAGGCTTATTATTATAAAATTGTTCAATATCCACCTACGTAGTTTCTACATGATGAAACGCTGATAACTTCTTATAAAAATACGACTTTAGTAGATGTACATGTATCGAACAATTGTGTACCTACGTTGTATACGTTAGATATACTTGCATTCAATCGCGTGAGAGATTTACAAAACGATAAGTATTTTATTCTTATTGATGTTATTTTTTCGTATTTGATAAAATATATCATGCAAATTATTTTTCCCTTTTAATTTATACACAAAACCCTTTAAAATATTTTAAGAGTACCTACCATCTTTGCAAAATATAGTTAATAATTACAAAAATACTTGATTTGGAAAAGTCGCTCATTGACGCTACTCTTGTAAAATTTTAGATACAAGGAATTATATAGTGAGTAGGTCACACGACAAAAGTTTCTTTTCAATTTATTTTTATTTATGGAGGGAGATTCATTTAAACTACATACAATAACGTGCGTAAGATATTCAAAAATTGTTTTTGAAATTTCATTGTTTTAATCTGTTGGATTGTACATAAGGTTTAGATGCTTTTAACATGTGAATTGTATTAATTATAAATAAATAATAATAGAAACTCATAAACAATATTACCTGTGTTCAATTTCCGATTACTTGAAAATCATTTTAAATGATTTAATTAATAAGTTATTATTATTTATTCGAAGTATCAATTTTTCTCTTTTACATCTGTTACTTTCTCTTGATATTGCATTATTTTTCTCTTTTTATCATTATCGATGTATAAAATAAGCAGCGATTTAAACTTTTTTTAATTATTATATAAATAATATACTTTATATAATATAGGCATTAATGTTAGGTTTAGAGCCTTATAATTTATATTTTTAATAATAATTGGTTAATTAAAGACAAAAAAATAATCAACCTCAAGTTCCAAGAACTATACTTTAAAAATTAAAAATCTTTAAGTATTTAGTTGTTAAGTACTTTAGCTTACGGGTAATTTAACTTTCATGAAACAATTAAAAAAATAAAATATCTGTATAGAATATTTTTAGCTATAATATATTTATTTTGTGTCAACATTTAAATGTTTTGAAATAAATGATTTATATTATATTCCATTCTATAAAAAATTTATGATTTCGAGTTATAATACTTTTAAATATATTTTATTATTTTTTATTTAACTTTTCACTTATTATAAATTAAATTAAATTAAAGTAATATCAATAGAATAATTATGAAAAAATATTGTTTTTTAAATCTATATTAATACAATAATACATATTTTACTGATCTCTTATATGTTTTTGAAAACTTTATACTTATAAGTATCTAATTGTATATTTGCTGAAGTACATATTATAATATGTTGTGTAATATACAACAAAATCAAATTTTTAATTTTATTAATCCGTATTTAAACGTAAAAATAATATGTTAAATGTTAAGTATTGAATGAATAATTTTTTTTTCCTAATTATTATATTTTTGTTATACTCCGAGAGTCTTGTACACCTTTCTTAGTTTTGAAATAATTTAATACAAATAATACCTACTACATTTTTATGGACAGAAAATAAAAAGCAAACTTTACGATAAAACTGCATAGTAAAATGTTTTTGTATTCTTATAATTCAGAAAATAGTCGTTTTATAAACAATGTTTACATTCCTACTTAAAGTTGATTGTTTTTGTTAATATAAATTTTTATTAATTGTTATTGGTAGAGTGTCACCTTTTGATTTATAGTACAAAAGTTTCTAACCATGTTTGGTTCTGCACGTTAATTGCAAAGAAAGTGCGTTAATAAATTAAATTTTCATATAACTATTTCACGTATAAATAATTTTAATTTTATAACTTCTAATAAACTCTTGATAAACATTTTTTTAAAGCTATTCAAGACGTATGAAATAAAATCGATCAGCCTTAAAATATCTAAAACAGTAAATAATATAAAATCGTTATTATAATATTATAATTTTACTTAATTTGTTATTACTTCGAGTGGCCAGATAGTAGGTCTTTAATTGCATTAATGCACTTTATATTATTGATGTTTAAACTTTTACTATTTCATAGCACACTGTGTAGTATTATAAAACGAAAATAGGTTTATGTAATGTAAAAAGTGCTTATGGCCATTCTTTCTTACATACGTAGAAACCTAAGTAGTTATTGCATATTGTTCAGCTATTAAACTTTACAATTTTGTAAAACATATCGTATTCGGTAAGAAAATAATTCAAATTATAATGTGTTGTAGTTATTGATCTTATATAATATTTATGTTTTGATATTATAATTATAAACATTATAGTTGATGCCTATTATTTGATAATAATATATATAAACGTAAAAGTCATGTTCCTGTGTTTATTACTATTATTTTATATATGTTACTATTATTATTTATGCTTTTATAATATAAAAAAAATAATAATAATAATAAAATAGTTTTTTAATAACAAATTAGCTCATATAACTTTAATAGTAGGTATAATAAGCCACTCATACGTAATAGCCAAACTAGTTTTCAACTTTAGGTCATCGTCTATAGATTCCGTAAGAGTGAGTCTTCTATTTCTGACCTCGGTACTATCACTAATTGCGCTATGTATATAATATAATATTATTATTACCATTAATAATACTACCATCAATTAATTTTGGATTGTAATTTACAGTTATCACGCGTTGATAAGACGTTTGAAATAATATGTATACAATTATTGTATTACGCCTGTCATTAATGATTTAAATATATTTTAAATAATTATATATTTATTCTCCTTATTGCGATTTAAATTAATAATTTAATTGTAATTTGATTAACTTGAAATTAACAGTGTAATTTATGCATCTAATTTTAATTTATTGGTGTAATACGAAATTAGGAATATCATACACGTTAATTAAGTAATAATATTATAATGGTGATTTGGTATTAGAATTTATTGTACTTAAACAAAATATAATGTTTACGCTAATAAATTAAAAATCTAGTTTAGGTACTTTATATTTTATACGTACTTTATAAATACATTTTTAATAATACATAGGAAATTTATTTTATAATTTATGATATGCAAAATGTTATTATAGATGCAAGAATTATTTTTTTTATTCATTTGATCACAGATTGAGTCCAGGATGGAAAAAAGTGTAATATCTCAGTTTTTTAATGATCGGTCCGTATTTGTCACTGGAAGTACTGGCCTTATGGGAAAAGTGCTTGTCTGGAAACTTTTGCACAGCTGTCCTGGAATAAAAAATATTTTCGTGTTGATAAGATCAAAAAGAGGCAAGTCCGCTCTTTTGCGATACCAGGAAATCATCAAAGCACCGGTAAGAATGTCTATTAGATATGTATAATATTTGACGATATTTTAATATTTTGGCGATAGTTATTTGATTCCATTAGAAAAACGAATAAATCACTGTTGTCTAAACTGCAAGTGGTATGCGGCGATGTAAGTCTGGATGAATTGGGAATCTCAGTGGAAATGAAGGAAAGGTTGATATCGGAAGTGTCGATTGTTTTTCATGGAGCAGCCACGTTGAACTTGGACGCATCACTGACCGAAGCTATAAATTTGAACACGACTGGAACACTACGCATGCTCGAGTTATGTTCCAACATGAAAAATTTAGAGGTAATAATGATATAATACTTTATATTATAATTAGTTTACATACAATTAATATGATATGAATATATCAATGGGCAAAAATGCATAGGCTTTTACTTTTTGCCGATACTGTAAACCTATTTATTACTATATAATATATGTAGTATAACTATAATCTCTAATCATGATATCAATTATTTTAATTAAATAACACTATACACAAAAAAAAAAAAAAAAAATAATAATAAATAGTTAATAAGTCATAAGCAATCAATAGAGTATTATCCAATTTATTTAAAAACAAATTATCTGACCAACGTTTAACATTATATATCCAAATTTTCACATAAATCTTTAAAGTGTAGAACTGATTTTCTAGAAATTAAAATTAAGGTTAAAAAAAAGTACTATTTAAGTGTTTTTTTCAAAAATATTGTGTTACTAAAGTTTTATTTTCCATAGAACTTTATATAAAAATAAATTATGAAAATTGAATGGGATAGCAGAATGGATGTTATAAGAATCTAACCGTTTTAAAATATAAAATTTAGATGGTGCATGAGGTGTCATGTTAATGGATATGCTACCTGGATGTCCTATTTTTTTACTCTTCAACAAGTTTTTCTCGTGACAATAAAATCAATAATAATATCAACATTAATAGAGTTTTTTAATTAATACATATTTATATTTACGTATACTCATATCCACACATTTAAACTCAGTATACTTAAATTTATTCGGTTTTTACACATTTATAAATTATTGCAAATTGTAAAATTATAAAACTTTAATTTGGTTTTGCATTAAAAAATGTACACCTAGTTTAACTGCTCTTTACATGACACTAAGTAAGAAACATGTGCTTATACGTTTTTCGATTTCGGAAGATGGATTCTTAATAAAAAAATACTCTTACCAGTAAACAGTTTCGGGAATTAAGAATAAGTCAATAATTTAGTTTGAGCACTTATTTTTTTTATCCCTGTTTCAACTACAATAATGGGGTGAGGATTGTTTTCAAATTTCTTTCATATAACAAAAAAATATCAATCACATTGGTATTTCTCAGGATTGGCTGTACTGTATTATTTAACTACCTATCTAAAAATCACATCCGGCCGATTTCATAGGGCATGTCGTATAAAAGTTATACTACGGATTTCGGTAAATTACAGTGGTTACATACGTTTTCGACCACAAAATTCAATTCATTTTGGTGTTGAAAACTCCAAAAATTTATTAATTGCCCAACTTGAAAGTGTAAATAAATAGGTATATCTACCAAAAATGTGACAAATCACTTTTTCTTGTTAAGTCTGCGGTGTTTTGGTTGCGATATTATTATAAAGTTTACAATCACGTACCTATAAATAACCTAACAGGTAACAACAATATTACAACGGTGTCAATGTTTCAGGCTTTCGTACATTTCTCCACGGCGTTCTGTCACGTAGACCTAGACACGTTGAACGAGGAAGTGCACAAATCGGCTTTCGACGCATATAACATAATGAGGTTACCGTCTTGGCTTGACGAAAACTGTATCAAGATGGTCACGCCTCAGTAAGAAAAACTATTACATTCCCATTATAACGTAGAATGATTGTTTATCATAATGTAAAATGAAGATGCAATTATTGTATTAGCTCATCAATGATATTATATATAAATAATATAAATACATATTTTGTCGATAAATAGCAAAGTTAAAAATTTTGTGTGACTCGGATGACAAAGAGAATTAAGACTGGTCTATACGAATGGTCTTTCAATATGACATTTGTACTCAGTTCTCAGTTCAAAAATACAAGTATATCTTGTTTAAAAAGAGTATTTTATTTACGTTTTTTGAATTTAACTCAACGAATTATGATAATAAGTTAAAATTATTACCGTCATAAAATCATACAAGATTAGTAAAAAAAAAAAAACCATGTGATATATTATCTCAGACCTCAGTGGTTTTTCAAAATGTAGTATTAGCTAATTATGCACTTAAAATATGTTAAAATAGTATTGTATATTAGCAAATTAATTCATATGAGAATTTTTCACTCTATTTTTTTGGTAATTTTTACTTATTTTCAAACATTGTTTAGTTAATTATGTAGTAAAAACGTATTTAATGAGTAAAAATTTAAAAAAAATTTAATAGTCGCCATTGAATGTGGTGATATTGGATACAGTATTTATCATCCTTTTTCTATAATATATAATAAAAAAATAAAATAATTTTTTTTGATCAAAAATATAGAATTTTTAAAATAATTTAAACTTTATACTTACATCGATTCTTTTATATATCATTATTGATACGGTTTGCGTACACCGATACACTGTAGGTTAACTTTGCTATAAATGTAAAATTCATTATAAGCATAAAGACATTTTCTTGGCAACAATGTTGAAAACTTTTCATTAGCATTTAATCAATTGATGTGATTGCAGCTTGATAAAACCGCATCCGAACACTTACACGTTTTCCAAACGCCTAGCTGAAGACGTGGTTAGTGATTTTTATCCTCAGCTTCCGGTCGTCATAGCAAGGCCATCAATAGGTAAGGTGATCGTTCGATAGTAGTGTGATGTCGGGTAATATAAAACTCATCAGTTGTTTTTTTGCAGTAACGCCAGCGCTTAAGGAACCTTTGCCCGGTTGGGTGGATAATCTGAATGGACCCACAGGAATATTGGCTGCGGGTGGCAAAGGCGTGCTCCGGTCTATACTTTGCAATTCAGAATACACTGCCGAAGCCGTACCGGTGGACTTTGCAATAAATGCCGTGATTGTGATTGCATGGAAAACAGCAATTACCAAACAAAAGCAAGTACAGTTTGTAGACTATGGCGCAATAAAAATAGTATTATGTAATACCTAGGTACAGTAGACGCCGCTTATAAGACTCGCGGATATAAGGTTCAGTCGCTTATTAGATTCAAATTCATCTGGAACGGTCCGGACGTATCCAAATACATTAAAAAAAAATCGGTTATAAGACTTAACACTTCGGTTATAAGACTCAAATTTCGTAAAATAAAAAATAGAAAATAAAATTTTTTGGTTATAATTTAGAAATAAATTGGTATTAAAAAATTAAATAATATTCGTGTTGATTATTTTTAGTTTCTGTTGGTATCTTATAACGTATAATAATTTTTATCGCAGATAAAAGTTCACATTTATCGCAACGATAATTGTTATTACTGATTATCTGGCGGCTGCACAGTTATCGTAATATGTAATTAATATTTACCTATTATAATTTTAGTTTTTTTATCGGGATTATTAAATTTATTCAATAATAAAGTAAGTGAGTCTTATAAGCGGCGTCTACTGTATATATAACAGCCTGCAATAGCAAATATATGTTTTTATCATATCAGATAGGGATTATAACATTTTTAAACGGTTTTTTTGCGAAAAATAAACCTATGGCATAAGTACAATTACTTTGGTCATATAAAAAAAAATTAACCGTTACAATATAATATGTTCACGTCACAAAATAAACATTTAATTGCTAATTTTAAATAGCATATTAACAGTGTGTTATAATACTTTAAGAGCTTAAGGAATTTTGGTAAAACTATAATTTGTAATATTTTTGTTAAGAATAAAGTATTTTATATTATACAGGACCGCCGCCATTCCCGTTTATAATTTGACACAGCACAATCTGAACCCAATCACTTGGGACGCCGTTATGGCCAAAGGAAGAGAAGAGACTATGAAAAACCCGTTTGAGCTTATGTTGTGGTATCCTACGGGATCGCTGACGTCCAACCGATTTGTTCACATTTACAAAGTGATATGTTACCACTGGATACCGGCCTATCTTATTGACGGGATTTTGTTTTTACTTGGCCAAAAGCGTTTGTAAGTACTTAAGTTTTAATAATCAAATTTAAAATGAAGACATATTATCGCTCGAAAAATTTACTATTATCATGCTTATGAAAAATATTTCAAGAAATTTTAATGATCAATTTTCATTTTGGAAAATTTGTTTTTTCTCTTATTTATATATGTTAAAATTTTAAAATCTAAACTTTATTACAAATACTAGTTGTGAAAACATTATTAATACTTTTAATTTTGAGTCATTACTCTTTAGAGTTAATAAACGAATATAAATTATATGTTTATATTATTCAACATTATAGTTTATTATATAATTATAATACAATTAAATAGTTGTATTACCTATTATTAAGTATCCAAAATCTTAAATCAACAATTTCTTCATGAGTGTTTACGATTTGAGATGACTCTTTAAATATTATAAGTACAGTTTCCGTAAGCTCCTCGCGATTCTGAGGTAAATTATTTTTCATTTGTAATGCAGTTTTTAAACAGTTAGGTTAAGCTTTTCTATTTATTTATTTTTTCGATTCAAGCACGTTACGTGCTAATAAAAAATAAAAATAACATAAGATCCTTCCGGGGAAATAAAATCTGAACACATTCACTTGTTATGCTTTTGTATACAGTATGATTAAAGTTCAACAAAAGATATCGGATGGTCTTCGTGTTCTCCAATATTTCACATTGCGCAATTGGGACTTTACCAACGACCGACTGTTGGCGCTCCGAGAAAGTTTGCCCGACGTGGACCGAAAAGAGTTCAATATGGATTTCGAAAAAATGGATATGGACGTTTATTTTAGAGATTGCATTTTGGGCGCCCGTCAGTATTGCCTGAAGGAAGACCCGGCGACCATACCGAAGGCCAGGAAAACCCTGAAAGTGTAAGCGCACTTTTAAACGCAAATTTATAAATATATGTTACCTTTGTATATGTAATTTGCGCACATTTTTAGATATACTTAAAAAAATAAAATAATAATATTAGTTGATAATAATTTAAATTGACTTAATATGCTTCGTATACCGATTTCAAAGTTACATATTATATTTTTTTTCTGTTTCATAGTTTATTAATTTGGTTGGATCCGTGTACCTACAGCACATTTTATGTATTTCGATTAAAAAAAAATTCTTTTCAATAACTTATCTTAAATTAACTGAGTCTGAATCAATGTAATTATTATGCACTGTACAATTAATAATAATATATAATATATATTATTAATAATTGACAAATCATTACTATGCTTGCTATATTTTCATTTTTTTTTTCATTTTCTATACATACAAAATTTCAAGTTATATAATTAAATAAAACTTATCGTTTGTCATCATTTGTTGTCTGTAGAAAATTTTCTGACGTGAAATGCCGTCGGGTAATACAATAATTGAACTTATTAACATTCATAAGATTATAGCTTACTTTTGTCGCCAATAATCGCAATAAATGTATTGCCCGTTTATAATACATCAAATTATATTTTAAAATTAGTACTTAGTATTTTTTTAGGCTTACTCTTAATAAGAACTCGATAGATGATTGGAAATTTTATAAGTCTGGATTGAGAGATTTTGGTATAATGTGATAGCAAATTCTCAAATTTCTCTTTAACTAAACTTTTAGCTATTCTCTAATCAAATATTTTAATATTATATTGTTATTATTAAGTTTATCAATAATCACTGAAAACAAAATCTTTATTGGTCATCGCACGTGTGCCATTTTATATTCTAATTATTAATTTCTATTTATTAACTATAATCATCATACAAACTAATATTAATAGATTACTAAAAACATTAAAATATTTATTATCAACAGTTTAATTATAATAAAAGGGTACTAATATACTTAGTGATTATTATCTGGGATGGTAAACCGGAAATCCTATCTATGAATCTGTTACCCGAGAATCTATATGAAAGGTGGTCATAAAATATGTAAAAATTGTATCATGTGCGCAAATGAATGTCCACTCATTAACAACTCATCGCTCTATCATAATTAGCGGTTGATAATAGTTTGGTTTTATGTTTTACAGACTTTATGTGTTGGACTTGGTGGTGATTTACCTGAAGTACGCTTTTGTCGCCTGGCTGCTGTACAAGGTATACGAAATGATTTCGACGATCGTTTAAGTCGCGATGACGTTATATTGCGGTACTTTATTATTGCATAAATTATTAATATTATTCGATATAATTCCCCACATTGTTATTGTATTTCTTTAAATACTAATCCACGTAAATGTTGTTATTTTCCTATTTATTTTTGGTCAAACAGAACTATCGACTATTGTATTATAATATTATTCGTCACAAACATTATTTGTTTGCTTCTCGTCCGTAGACTTAAAAGCTTTAAGTAAGAATTATACAACTTCAATTGCATGTCTGTTGACGTTTTCAAAACGACAGCCACTTGACTGTGGCGTGATTGCAACGTGTACGACGTACGTGCTGTAAGGGCTCGTGCATGTTATGTTGTAATTGACACGTCTTGCAGATTTTCGTGTAAGTCATCGGTGGGTCATTTACAACATTACAATTGACATCATCCACAAAACGTTCGACTTCCACAAACACTTTTAAAATTTATAATCACAGCGTGTCCGAAATTATATCATTATTATGTTCTTAACAATTGCTTCACCGACACCTTATTATAGGCACACACAATTCTTTGTGGTTAACATATCAGCTCAAAATAGTCGACGAATTAATTAATATCGTTTGAAGGTAAAAATAATAACGCCCTGTCTCAAAACAAAAATATCTTTGATGTACGCAGTTTTTACTAATAATTTTAATTTCAAATCAACACATACATTGAATAATAATATGGTATACATACTATTTCGACATCACTCTATCATTTCGAAAATAATGAAAAGTTATGAATGAAGTATATACACATAATATATTATATTATATTCATTCATAAAATACTTTTCTTACCTACTTGAAATATTATTAAAATGAGAAATGTTTTAGAGGTAAAATAATTATTTTTGTTATTGTTAAAGTTGCTTTATTGTTATTATTTTTATTATTAATTTTATGCTTATTACTATTATTTTATTTAAATGTTTTTATTTCTTTTTTTGGTAAAATTTAAGCATTTATCGATACTTTTAGTATTACGATTGAACGTATTGTACTTAAATTGTTTTTTTTTTTATTTTTTTATTTTTTTTTTTAATATCTACTAATTTTTACCTTTCTCGAAAATATTATATACTTTCATTTTCCTGTGCCTCGGCTGTTTTCTCCCCTAGGAAATGACAAAAGCCTGTTTCGACTGCTTTGTATCCCTCTCGACCGCCATAACTACCATCACCACCACCACCACTACCACCACCCGTATCACACACCAGTAGGAAAATACGCCTCTTAAAAGTATTTAAACGTATTGTTCGCACAGAAGAAAGCAGACATCACAAGTGCCTTTTATAGTACAACGTTGAGCTACATCTTTTGTTCGTCCGACCACTCGCTCCAGGCGAGCACTTACCACTCTGTCAAATGTGATATTATAGAAGAAATTGTCGACTAAAAAGTGAAAAAAAAATGTTTCCTCCCCCGTAAGAGGATCAATAAAACGAAAAACAAAGAATCGTCAAATTTTTACTCTAATCCGATTCCGTGTTGTGGTGCACAGTGGTGGCGACGCGGCGTTATCATCGCGAACCACTAGAGTCTCTCGTGATCGATCACTGCGCAATGCACAAATCCATCTCGGTAGTCATATTCTCGATCTATATTCTATTAGGTTTGTATGTGTACATAATTATTATAGTATGTACACGCGCACACACATATATTTATACGCATGCGCATACACACAGATCTAAATTTTGTAAATCAACTCACGTCTGACGCTCGGGTTAAAGAAGAACGATGACAGTCTACCGCGGTTAAATACTCTATACGTGGTCATTGTACATCATCTTTTACCGGAATTGTTTCATGGGTCCTTTATTTGACCATATATTATTTTATACACAACACACCACGCAAAATGTACTTGGACGCGTACTCCAATAAATCGCACTTTTTTATAAAATTATAATTTTTATACGTTTTATTATTTCGCACAACGATAATACGTTATTATACGAGTACTTTATATTACTAATGGCAATCATCGCCAATATTTTATTATATAAGTTAACTATATAATTAAATTATAAAATTTCTATAACTTATAAACCAGTGCAAATTATGCATAGTTTGATTACATAAATTTAGTAAATAATACTTTTCTTCAAATGGTTTTTTGACATTTTGAGCTCATATTGAATTGTATTAAGCTATGTATGTTATATGATATGTTTAATAAAATAAACAGTGATATCTACCTTATTGTTTATTATATTAAAAAAAAAATAATAAAATAAAAATAAAACAAATTAATAAAAACTGTGTTAGTTATTATTTTAATTTGTAATTTAATTTGTTAAAAATATTATAGTTATCTAATGTTGTAATGATGTTATATTAAAAAATGTATTTAGACAAACTATTATTATTATTATTATTATTTTTATTTTTGAATTAATTTTGTTCTTAATATTACAATAATAATAATAAAAAAAAAATGTAGAAAAATTATATTATAAAAAATTAAAGAATTAAATAAGATAAAAAAATATCACCATAATTTTTCTAATTGAGTTTTGTTATAAAAAATTTAAAAAACTAAGTGTTAAAGTTTACGTTTAATAACCCTTTAAAGTGTTAATTTTAGACAATATAATTATATAAGTTATACAATCAGCAAATATCAATCGCACCTTTACATAGCAGAGGTTGGTCGACCGAAAGGCAACGCAGTTTCACCGTTCGTATATTAATTAATTCATAAGCCAAAATCCATGAAATCTGAAGTAACTACACAAGGTGCATTTATGCATACTAATTCTGTCACAAAATTATTAATAACTGTATCAAAAACTAAAAAAGTAGGTGACTATCTAGTAAGTTAAAAATAATTTATTTTTTATTATTGTTTTTTTAATTTTTAATTTGTATACAGTAACTCATCTTTATCGTAAAACCATTGATGTATTATTCTTATTAAAATTAATTTGAATCAAACGTAAATGGCCATAAATTAATTTTAAAAGTAAATTTATATTATCTAACAATATGATCCAAATTAGCAAATTACTATTGGTTTTCTATACTTAATTAATATGTCAATTCGTATTCACTAGACATATACTACACTTAATATTTATGTGTCATGTATTTTCATAATACATATCACGTATGTACAGCTGCACGATCTCTATAAGTTTAATGAACGTCGTAAACAGTTGATTACTCCAGTTTCCCTGTTATTTGTTTGTCAATCACCTCACTGCTTTTCATGATGACGTGTGTACCTAATTTAATATTACGCTGAATACATTTGAGCGCAAGTGGTCAATTATAAACGTGTATAGTTTGGATTGCTTGTTGTGGTGTGATATAAATCAACCAATCAAAGTGTATTAGAGAATATCATCAATTTAATTAATTTTGTTAATTATATTGTATAAAAAATAATAATGCATGTATAATGCACACTACAATATTAATAACAATTAATATGTCAAAAGATAGCATAGGGTTTTATATTGTTGATCCGATTACTTTACAATTTTTACAAAACAACATAATCGGTTGATAAGTAGGTAGTAGGTACATTTTGTTATTTTAATTTTTAATCGGGATTTACACAACTATATTCAATACTTCAATAGTACCTACAAAATACCTTAATGTATTTATCAGGTTTATTAAAAAATTGATGTATCTAGCTTATTTTACATATTTAATGAAACTAAATTATAAATTGAATAAGATATTATAAAGTTACTTTTCATATGAAACTTGTAGAACGCATTAAATAATTGTGCTTATATCTAAAAACGTGGTCAATACAGATTGTAATCAAAACAATATAAATGACATAGGTAATCATAATAAAGTATGAAAAAAAAGAATTGATATTATGTAATGTATATAATACAGATTAATTGCTTTTCCTTAAAACAAAGTGTAGTAAATGCATTTTAAAATAATATTTACTCTGTGGTAGCTAAAACACAATGGTTTCAAATTAATTTGCTTTAACAATGTTAGAATACAACTGATTGTTCATGCCATTTTGATTTTATAGATTTTTTTTTTAAGTGATAGATATATGTGATTTTATTTCAATTATTTTATTTGAACATCTGATAATTATAGAATACTTCGTTTTAAAATTTAGAACGTTTGCTCAAATCGAAAGTCTCAAGATAAAAATTCTTACACTGAATCATATTAACATGTGAGTACATTTTAAATGTTTTAAATTTTTTGATAAAAAGATTGCAATTATTATTTTTATTTTTTTATTTTTTTTTTTTTGGGGGGGGGAGATTTTTGGATTAGTTATTCAAATTTTGTAAATGAAAATTTCGCATACCAGATAAACAGTCAAACATTTTTCAAAAATGTAATATTCAACAATTGGATTGTATTAATTTAATATATTAAAAATTAAAGATAGTTCCACAAATAAAGGTGTACTAAGGATAATAGGTCCTCATAACAATAAGTTTGGAAGATATGAGGCTATGATAATTGGAAATTGTTGTAATCATTATTATTTATTTATTTGTCAGAAATTAAAATATATAAAAATAGGCCAAGCATTATAAATACACTAGATCCAGTATTACATTTATTTTGCATTCTTGTAAAACAATTTTTAAGGAATTATACCCTTTATGTAAACATTTTAATAATCAAAACAATTCTTTCTAATTTTTGAATTAGATACATAAATATATCTAAAAAAGATCTATTTTTTAATAAATAGTAAAATATGAGAGTTATTATTTTAAAATCAGAAGATTGTATTATTTTGGAACTACTTTTTAAGTACCAAGTACCTACAAATAATATCAAGAATTTTAAAATATCAGTATTTAAATAAATTCATTATCAATAGGAATGAATTAAGACGAGCGAAGGTAATTGATGAATCACCTTGTATATAAAAAGTACAAAATATGTACAATCATAAAATTACAATTGAAATTCGTTGAAAAAAATTACAATGTTTCACAGATGATAAAATCGATGATGGCATGCAATCTAAAACTCAATACTTTTAAAAGTATAAATTATAAAGCTATAAACAATAATAAATAAAATATAAAGGTGCCATATAACTATTTTATTATTTTTATTTATATGAGT